GTCTGTGACAGGCCCCCTCTTGGCCGCAGGCCCTTGGGCAGTGCCCAACTGCCCATATGGTCAGTCCGCCCCTGACTACAAATACATTATATTGCAAATCAGCACTGATTAATACCACCAGCTACAGCATCCTCCCCCTTCCGGCCTTCACCCACCTTCTTCTTCTTGGTGGCCAGGGGACGGGACGGAGTGCAGGAGAAGCTCCTCTCCCACACAGCAGGATGTGCTGCCTGCAGTGTCGGTAGCAGCTCTGCCAGGCTACACAGACTTGACAGGTGACAGATTCAGCCTCTCCATTTCTGCACAGACACCCGCACATGCAGCGGTCCTACCCCTGCAGGAGAACTCTGGCAGAGTGAGGGAGCAGAGGCAGCTCTAGACTTTGTGAGGCCTAAGTCAAAAGTCAAACGTGAGGCCCCCCACTTACATCCATAATATAAAAAAAGGCAAACGATAATTCAAAATGAACTGTGATGGTAGAGGGAGATTTTCGTCCAGCGTAGGGGCCCCCCCACCCCTTTCAGGTGGCCGCCTATGCAGCCTTACTCTAGCATCGGCCCTGGTCCCATGTTATCCCTTAGGTGAGCTGATTAGCGTTGCCACCTTTACTTCACGTGAAACCCAAACACTCTAGCGCCAACTGTTTTCTTGGAGAATATGCAGGAGAGAGCAAAGAGAGACAGCCAGGAGAAAGAGAGAGAGAGAGGGGAGAGAGACAGCCAGGATAAAGAGAGGAGAGACAGTCAGGAGAGAGAGGGAGGAGAGACAGCCAAGAAAGAGAGAGATGAGAGACAGGCAGGAGAGAGAGAGAGAGAGAGAGAGAGAGAGGAGAGACAGCCAAGAGAGAGATGGAAAAGGGGCAGCCAAGAAAGAGAAAGAGGGAGGAGAGACCGCCAAGAGAGGGAGGAGAGACAGCCAGGAGAGAGAGGGAGGGGAGACAGTCAGGAGAGAAAGGGAGGAGAGACGGCCAGGGCAGAGAGGGAGGAGAGATATCCAGGAGAGACATACAGTATAGGTTTAGGCATAGGTTTCTGTTCTGAACAGCAAAGCAAAAAATGACTACAAATAAAAAGTTAACAAACCACTTAAAACAAACATCTACACAGTAAATGCATGACTGGGTCTACCACATATATGTGAAGAGCTGCTAATGCTGGCTACTTTTATGCCCCCTCCTACATCCTGCACCTCCACTGTAGACATCTGTGGGTCCAGACTTTAAAGTGACCCTTTCCTTTGTGCATACAGCGTAAAGTAAAATGATCACTTAACTCTCTCCCCATCCCCCAGCAGCATATGCTACCTTTCCTTGCTCCCCCACCGTAACCTTGTTCAACTGCTGATTGCAAAGTGATCAACCCAGCATTGTTGGATATGACTTAATATGTGACTCATTCCCTCTCCAAATGTTATAGTGCTGAGCCAGGCACCAGTGATGTCACATGGGGTCCATACCCCTTGGCAACCTATGGCAAGTCAGCTTGAACCTTACACAGGTTTTTCCCCCCACGCTTCCGGGGGTTGAACCGAGCAACACGGGAGCAAGGAAAGGTCAGCATACCCCTATTAATTTGTCTTGCATGGGGAAAAGGAAAGGGTCCCTTTAACAAAGGCAGGGAGAGCTGCAGGATGATGCTCTGCAGTCACATAGGAAGCATGAGGATGACACCCCCACGGCACCGTTAAAACTGACAGAACAAAAGGCATTAAGGCATACTGTATAATATCCTGACAATATGCACTACTTCCCAACACTGAAAGGCATTTGTGACATTGCTCTTCCTTTTATTAATTCATAGGAAAAATGTGGGTAGTCACCCCTATCCTTCTGAACTGAGTTTAGGGGTAGTAAAACATTTTTATGGTGAGCTATGGTGGGTCTCCTCTAGAGGCTGGAGCTTGAATCTGAAGAGAGGGAGTACGGTAGACTCTGGATTAGAAGTGAGGGGGAGCACCAAAAGAGAGCACAGAAGCAAGTCTAAAGACCCTGATCCGCCATGGAGTCCCGCCATGCAGCAATACATTATATACTAGCCATAGAGGACTACAAATCCCAGCAATACATTATACAGCAATGCAGAATACCACCAGTTATAGAGGACTACAAATCCCAGCAATACATTATACAAAATGCATAATAATATGAAGCTACATACTTTGTGTTGCTCCGGGGTGGTGGCCTGATGTCTTGTCGGTCTCAGGAGGGCTGTGCAGGGTTTCAGGCGGGCTGTGCAGGGTCTCAGGTAGGCTTTGCAGAGTCTCAAGTGTGCTGTGGGGGTTTTTAGGTGGCCAGTGGGGGGAACAGGTTGGGCTGTGCAGATTAATTAATTATTATTAATATTAATAATCATTTCCATGGCCAAACAACTTCATCCAAGCTTTACATCAACAAGTGCAATGCAAAGCGTCAGATGCAGTGGTGTAAAGCACGCCGCCACTGGACTCTAGAGAAGTGGACATGTGGTCTCTGGAGTGATGAATCACACTTCTCTTTCTTGCAAGCCGATGGACGTGTCTGGGTTTGGCGGTTGCCAGGAGAACGGTACTTGCCTGACTGCATTGTCCCAAGTGTAAAGTTTGGTGGAGGGGGGATTATAGTGTGGGGTTGTTTTTCAGTGGTTGTTCTTGGCCCCTTAGTTCCAGGAAGGGAACTCTTAAGGCATCAGCATACCAAGACATTTTGGACAATTTCATGCTCCCAACTTTGTGGGAACAGTTTGGGGATGGCCCCTTCCTGTTCCAACATGACTGCGCACCAGTGCACAAAGCAAGGTCCTGACCTCAACCCGACAGAACACCTTTGGGATGAATTAGAGCGGAGACTGCGAGCCAGGCCTTCTCGTCCAACATCAGTACCTGACCTCACAAATGCGCTTCTCGAAGAATGGTCAAACATTCCCATAGACGCACTCCTAAACCTTGTGGACAACCTGAAACTGCAAAGGGTGGGCCAACTCAATATTAAACCCTACGGACTGAGACTGGGATGCCATTAAAGTTCATGTGCGTATAAAGGCAGGTGTCCCAATACATTTGGCAATATAGTGTATCTTTCAGCACTGTTTGCTAATATTCTACTGCCATGTGAACTGTCTATGGCTAGCGGAATGTGTTAACGTTTATTGTTATTAATATGAGAAATACTACAGTCTGCAAGCTTCCAAATTTGGTTGGATCTAGACTGCTCAAAGGTAATTAAAGGAGAACTATGAGGTGACTGCTTTTCACTCACCTCATAGTTCTAGCCGACCTGTGACAATGAGATCCACAGGCACTGACTGGCGGAACGGACGGGGGAGGGGGCGGGTACAGCTGGCTCTGCCTCTAGATAGGCAGAGCCAGCTGTCACTCACGCAGCTGGGCGGATCCAGACATAATTGTCGGGATCCGCTTCAGCGTCTCAGTATACCGCGAGCTGTAGCTCACGGTATACTGAGCTTAGGGTGACGGGAGGATGCTAGTTTGTGTCCTCCCGTTACCCTAAGGAGAACTATGGGGAAAAGCCTTAACCCCATAGTTCTTTTTTAAGAATATAAAGATTCATTCATGATACATATTGTAACAATGACTTGGAGAGATGGAGCTCCTAGTATAAAGAAGCTTAGAGCAGGGATAGACAACCTTCACACTCCAGCTGGTTGGACATTACTGTCCCATGAGACATTGCAATACTCTGCCAGCCACAGGCATGACTCCCAGAGTCAGCACCACAATGGGATTTGTAGCTTGACGAAAGCTAGAGTGCAGAGGTTACCTACCCCTGTCTTAGAGCTTGTATTTATGACTCATTTACAGGGACTCCATGGACTGCTGAACTCTCTTGTGTTGAAGTTATCCAACATTTGTTCTCCATGATAGACACAAATATTAGTACACATGGGCACTTTGCTCAGTGCTGCATGAAACCCGGATGCTCTAAATTGGTGCCAAAACTGTTAGTGAGTAATGGCAGCTGCATTCACCAAGAGAAGATATTTCTTAATGATGTGCTTCAGGCATATGAAATGCCCCCAGATGCAAGCAGAGGTTGTTTAGTACAATGATACTTAGATATGTATGCTCATTGGCATAACAACATAAAAAAACATTATTTCCTGTGAACATTCTGACATTAGTGAAAGATAATATCAAAAGGGAAATACTACGGTATATATAGAGTTCTTATTGAAAGATAAATAGGTATCTATTCAGTAAGTCAAGGTACTCATACATTGTGACTCCTCAAACACCGAAAGGACATTTCTAAAACATTGAAAACTGCCATTCCATTTTCTATAAAGTTTCTTCATGTACACATTCTTCTCTTGCAGGTGAGAGGCTGCCTAAACCAGACAAAGGAAAAATGCGCTTCCACAAGATCGCAAATGTCAACAAGGCTTTGGATTTCATTGCCAGCAAAGGAGTAAAACTAGTGTCTATTGGTGCTGAGGGTAGGTAGTAGTCTCAGACAGGTAAAAGATTAGATTTTAAAGAGGAGGAATTGTCTGAAGAAGGTGTTTTTTTAAATATGCATGTGAAAGAGATCTGCATGATGTCTTTTTAATCTTTTCCATTATATCAGTTATACTGTATATGTACACGGAAGTAGCAATAAAAATATAAATTGCAGTATACTTTGGCATATACATATACTGTATATATAGTGCTGTATACAGTAATACATCCTTAACGTATATGTCCACTTTTGCAGTCAGATTTGAGAAAACCTCTCTATATGTTTGTTACTTGCCCTAGTCACAGATCATACCTAAAATAATAATTAAAAAAAAAGTCTTAACTTTCAGATGTCTCTGTGTCACAAGGCCTTTGGACAGACTTCAAGCTTCTCTCTATATTTCAAGGTGACAAGAAAACTCTGGCTGTCCCCATAAATAGAATAGGGACAGACTGAGCGTCCTCTCATTAACACACAATACTTTTAAGTCGTAAACCCTTTGTTAGGACAGACAGTGCACAAATCTAGTTCACAACTGATAATGAGATATGCCAGCACAGTACAGACAATTAAGAGATAACTAGTAATATGTGAAAACAAGAAATATGTAAGTAGCAATAAAAAGTTATGCTATATGAATGAGAACATGTAACAAATATGAAATAGATATTATCCCTATTTGGCTGCAAAAGTGGAAATGCACTTTAAATGTTTTTATTATAATGCAAGCAGGGTAAGTACCTGGATTTATTTTGGTATCAGCCTCTTGAAGTCCCTGTACATCAAAGCTGAGGAAGGAAATGGCAAAGCAAGGAGACCATCAGTTGTGCTGCAGTGCAAAGTACATGCTGATAGGAGGAGAGCGCAGAGTTACATAGAGATAAGCTCATCAACCTGCTGCTGCTTCTCCTTTCACTGTACGATGTTGTGATAGTGAGTCTGTTATCCAATTTCCAATATAAGACATGAAAAGACTTACGGGTCTATTCACTAAGCTGCCGTAGGCAGCCGAGTGAATGACCGACCTGAAGTGAGCCGAACACTGTTCGGCTATTCACTTCAGGCTGGTACAGCTGATTTCAGGTGTATATCGGCTCTAATCAGCCATACATCGGCTTGCTTCGCATGGTTTCGGGTCGGCCGAACATGCTCAACATGTTCGGCCGACCCGAAGTGCAGTAGGAGTTCGACTCAGCCGATCCAACATCTGGATCGGCTGAGCCGAACCTCCGGCAGGCTACTCACTGCTGTTCGGCCTATTCTCATAGATGCCGAACATCAGCGAGTGAATAGCCGAATGCCGCTGAGCGGCATTCGGCTTGGCTGTTCTGCTCGGTCGGAGCAGTGTCAGAATAGAGAAAAATATATATTTTTTGCCCATTCGAATGCATTGCTAGATTCCTATTGGTTATTTCAATTTGCAATAGCCAATAGTAAACTAGCATTGTACCCGCCCTCTGCTGATGGACCTGATGGAGAATTGCAGTAGAGGGAGGGTACAATGCTAGTTTGATATTGGCTATTGCAAATTGAAATAGCCAATGGGAATCTAGCAATGCAAGCCAATAGGAATCTAGCAATGCATTCCAATGGGCAAAAAATGTTTATATTTTTTTTCTATTCTGACACGGCTCCGAATAAAAAAAAAAAGAAACAGCAGTGTTTCTCTCTTTGGCGGCCGGGAGCGGGAGACTCCCGGAGCGCCAAGGAGAGTTAGCTGTTTGGAGATCAGTGCCCCTGGTAAGCAGGTAACCAGGGACGCTAATCTCTCTGCAAGTGGCCGGAGCCAGCTGTAAGATCACGGCTGGCTCCGCCCAGCTGTCAGAAGCAGGCTGTCGGCTTTCAGCGCGGCTCAGCCGAGCCGAGGCATATGCGTTCGGCTCGACTGAGCCGCTCGCCCACGTTCGGGAGCTGTACGGGCTATAGTGAATAGCCCGTACAGCACCCCTTCGGTTCTACCGAACCGAAGGGGTCCTGGGGCCGAAGCTAGCGGAAGGATCGGACGAAGCTATGGCTAGATCCTTCAGCAGCTTCGTGAATAGACCCCTTAATTATCACTATAAGGCATGAAAAGTCATGAAAAGGCATGCAAAGGCTTTATTCACACTATAAGGTACTAATAGGCTTCATACACACTATAAGGTGATACAAGGCTTAATTTACACTATAAGGTACTAAAAGGCTTCATTCATACTATAAGGCTTCATTCACACTATAAGGTACTATAAGGCTTCATTCACACTATATAGTACTAAAAGGCTTTATTCACACTATAAGGTACTAAAAGGCTTCATACACATTATACGATACTAAAACGCTTCATTCACACAGTAAGGTACTATTAAGCTTTATTCACGCTGTAAGGTACTATAAAGCTTTATTCACACTGTACGGTACTATAAGGCTTCATTCACACTATAAGGTATTAAAAGGCTTTATTCACACTGTACGGTACTATAAGGCTTCATTCACACTATAAGGTATTAAAAGGCTTTATTCACACTGTACGGTACTATAAGGCTTCATTCACACTATAAGGTATTAAAAGGCTTTATTCATACTATATGGCATGAAAAGGCTTCATTCATACTATATGGCATGAAAAGGCTTCATTCACACTATAAGGCATGAGAAGGCTTCATTCACACTATAAGGCATGAGAAGGCTTCATTCGCACTATAAGGCATGATAAGGCTTAATTTACACTATATGGCATTAAAAGGCTTCATTCACACTATAAAGCATGAAACGGCTTAATTTACACTATAAGGTACTAAAAGGCTTCATTCACACTGTAAGGTACTACAAGGCTAAATTCACGCTGCAAGGTACTAAAAGGCTTAATTTACACTATAAGGCTTAATTCACACTATAAGGTACTAAAAGGCTTCATACACATTATACGGTACTAAAACGCTTCATTCACACGGTAAGGTACTATAAGGCTTCATTCACACTACGAGGTAGACATGTGCAATTCGTTTCGTTCCGAAACAAAATTCGGATGAAATTTCGGAAATTCGGAGATTCGGATGTATCCGAATTCCAAATTACAGATATAACGAATGCAAACAAACCCGAATTTCCGATTCTGAAATTCATTAGCTGTAGTTTCATTTTCGTTCGTTGCAACAAAGTGACATTTGAGACATTTGTTTTTATACAGTCTGCAGAGGAGGAAAAAAAAAAAAGTGTGAGGTTTTCCCCCAATTCATACCAGACCCTTTAGGTCTTGTAGGAATTTTAAGGGGGAAACCCAGCCCCCAAAAATGTGAAAAATAAACGTGGGTCCCCCCTAACATTCCTACCAGACCCTTGATCTGAGCACAGGCCCAGCAGGGCAGGAAAGGGGGAGAACGATCGAGTGCCCCCCCTCCCCGTGCCTTACCAGGCCACGTGCCCTCGTCATTGGGAGGGTTTCCCCATGCCGATGGGGACAAGGGCCTCTTCCCCACAACCCTGACCCGGTGATCCTTTAATTAAAAAAATAAATACAAATGGTTCCATTCATGTAATCCAGCGTCAATTACGATGCACGACGACTGTCCGAACCCGACGAAAACTTGCTGCACAAAAGTAAACAGATGGGTGGAGCGAGCCGTGACATCACGGCTCACTCCGCCTATTTGACATTCTCAGCTGCCAAATACAACATAGCATTCGGGAACTCCCAGGCGTCATAATACTTTTCATGAATACTTTTGGAACGAATTTTGGTTGCAGCAAAGTGACAGAAAAAAATTGTTTTTTAAAATGTCACTTTGCTGCAATGAAGGAACGAAACGAAAATGAAACGACAATTCGGACCCAAATACTGAAAAACGAAATAAGGCAAAATCCGAATCAAAGCGCAACGAAACAAAACAAAACAAATATTTTGCCGGTGCACATGTCTACTACAAGGTACTAAAAGGCTTCATTCACACTATAAGGTACTAAAAAGCTTCATTCACACTTTATCATCTAAACACACAAGAAATTATCTTGGAAGTTTATGCTTCCCAAATCACTTTTTCATGCGTTTAGAAGTTCACACTTTAAAGAAGGTTTAGTTGCGTTTAGTGGTGTTTAGCTGCGTTTCTCTATGTATGAGCTACATGAGTATAGCCGTGTTTAGAGTTTCTAATCCAATTCTGGACACACAGAATTCTATTTTCCCTAAATGCAGCTAAACGGAACAGACCTAAATGCAGGTAACTGTCCAATCTGAAATAAACCATTGAAAAATCACTACCTGCATAAAAATGCAGGTTTGACATTGCCAGTGTGAATGAGGCCTAAGGCTCCTTCATGGTCAAAGTGACTGGTGTTGCTGTTGAATATTATTTAAATATATATTTCTAATGAAATAAGCAAAAGTCAGACAGCTCAACTATTTGTGGTGCAGTGTTCATCACACCAAAGGATTTACTGTGAAATTTTTACAGTGAATGTTTGCTAGACATTTCTCCACCTGTATTTTACAACAGTCGCCTATCATTTTTAAAGAGGATTCACCTATCAGCATATAACATAATAAAGATAATCTAAGTACTAACACCATTTGGCCATGTGATTTAAAATCAAACAAGACCCAGCATCACCATACAACATAATGTAAAGAGATTCCAATTTCAAATAAGATTCGTGTGTCACGTTTAAAATTAGCCGCTGCATTACACATACGCTGAATCTTTTTGAAAATGACAGCCTCATGCTGTTTTATACAGACAGATGAATGCCCAAAAGACATTTGCTGTGCTATTCACATAGCCAATCCTTTATAAATAGACATCTTTAAGTGCCCTTATCTGTGTACTCCTGGGATAGATTAAGCCAAAAGGTCAGCACACTGGATTGTTTCCATAAAAGTCATTATTGAATTCAGAAGTTAAACCATGGACATAGCTAGGCTATATCTATGTATGTGGTTTCACATCCCTAATTAAATATTTCATATTTTACTAGTTCAGTTTGCAGGAAAACACTTTGGTGGATTTCTCCCACTGTTATGATGCAAACTGGACATTTGAAAGTAAAGTGTCTGGATCAGAATCCTAGGGGTGCCAGTCAGATGATGATGATATGCAGTCAGACATGGCCATTATTTGGTTTTAACAGTCTGACAGATGACATTTTATTGATTTTAATAGTATATGGACACATATCAGTGATGTTATAGGGATAACATTTTCTGCAATTTTCATATCGTAAGTTCAAAATCTGGATATACACAGACAGAAAGATTGCTGTACCTGATGAATGACTTTACAGTTATGCATTCATATCACACTAATGATCGTAATAAAGAATCTCTAAGTGGTTTCACATATAAAAAGGATTGGAATTTTTTTGTCTGATTCTTCATTATTTTTTCCCACTGAAAGGAGATCAGGACCAGCTCCTCACAATCACAAAAAAAACTTTTTGATGTACTTGTTCAAAGATAAATATCACATATGGACAGCACTCTGACTTTGCAGAGTCTGGATTAAATTTCCAACTATTTGTAGAATGACTATCTGCTGTTTAAGTTTTTTTTTTACAGGGATTTCTTCATCATCTCAATTAGCTCATATGTATATGTATGCTTGTATAATAAGGAAATGCCCTCCTTAACATCTTGTCTTGATCTATATTGTAATTGTAATGTCTTCCTTATATTGTAAAGCAGTGTGTGAACCGTGGCACTACATAACTCCTGTATAATAATAGGTATAATAATAATTAGGGATGCACCGATACCATTTTTTCGAGTACAAGTACTGATATTTTTTTTTCGGTACTCGCCGATACCGGAAGTCCTATTAAGGAAGTTGGGCAGCGTGTAATGACTTGCCGCCCAGATTCCTGATTGGTCGGGAAGCTGGCCAATCAGGAAGCCAGGAGGCGAATCATTACCCGCCCTTTGGCTTCCTGATTTGCTGGAAAAGCCGGCTCCGTGCTCCCTCGTCACCAGGGAGCATGGAGCTGGCTTCCCGGGCAATGACTTGCCGCCCAGCTTCCTGATACTGGAAGTTCCACTATTGGAATAGGCATCGGGAGCATTTGGGCGAGTATGAGTACTCGCCCAAATACTCGGTATCAGCACCGATACCAATACTAGTATCGATATCGGTGCATCCCTAATAATAATAAATTAAAAAGATGGGCAAGCTATTCACATCATAGCATTGTGCTAAACATGTGGGATCTGTGCATTCAGCACACACTATTTGGTGAAAAAAAGTAATGTATGCACTACTTTAATTACCATGTGGCAAAGCAATGCACTTTATTATCTTACTGCGCATTTTGTGGTGCTGTAATACATGCCTGCAAGGAGGTGCATTGGGGTGCTTTTCAAAATGAATGGCAGTGCACCTAGTGGGTACCATGTGTTCTATGATAGCACTTCGCTAAACACAAAGACCCTGTGCATTTAGCGCAACGCTATGGTGTGAATATGCAATGAAAGCTTTCCTGAGACAGGACTCATGTGAATGGTTGTATGTTAGAACTATACTGATTTTGGAATTGTGGTGGCCTGCATAGGCGCCTTAACATAAATAGTAACACAATGTGAAAAATGAATCTGCATTTTAAATGCATAATAAACTATGTTTGTTATTTCATTTCCCATAGAAATTGTGGATGGAAATTTGAAGATGACTTTGGGTATGATCTGGACAATTATCTTGCGTTTTGCAATTCAGGACATTTCTGTTGAAGGTATTTGTTAAGTTAATATTTATTTATATGATACCACTGAATTCATTGGGGGACATATACCAAGCAAAGTAGCAACACAAGTAGTGGCAAATCAGGCTGCCTCTTGCACATGAAAGTCTCTGTGGCAGGTTTAAAAACCTGTGCGGTCTGTTTTCCTGGGCAACCAAGTGCGACAGTTTGCAAAGTTCTGATACAGATTTATTAATGAAGATGTGACAGGTTTTCACTCTAAACAGCAGCATAATTAAGAAATGGTCGGGGTCAGGTTTTATTCTGTTGCAGTGCTACTTTAGAGCAGCTGAGGAAGGAATTCATGACTCAAGCTGTAACCTTGTAATAAATCCATCTCACAAATTGTCTTGCTTCCTCTGGTTAGCATTGCTTTGCCATGCAACAGAATTGAATAATGTCCCCCTGTGTGCATAATTCTGGTTTTCACACTTACCCATGCAAAACTAAGGGGGTTATTCACTAAAGAGCCGAAGGATCCAGCCATAGCTTCGGCTGATCCTTCAGCTCGCTTCAGCCCTTCGGTTCAGTTGCACCATGCTGCAGCCAGGGGCAGCCGAGTGGCTCAGCCGAGCCGGAGGCATATGCTTCGGCTCAACTGAGCCGAGGTAACAGCCGAAGCGTGGAGAACGGCAGTATGGCAGAAATGGCAGAAATCAGCCGTACAAGACTGAAGTGATTAGCCGAACAGCGTTCGACTCATGTCACTTTGGTGGAGTTATTCACTCGGCTGCCTTCGGCTGCTTTGTGAATAACCCCCTGAATATCAAGACAACACTACAACACCTTAGTGTGTACAGCTGGTGAATTGCTTTAACCTGCCATACCTGGATATTTTGCCTCAATACATCCACATACTAAGTTGCTGTAGTGATTCATTTGTTTTATTAGGCAGAAAAAGAAACAGGCAGTTAAAGAACGAATTTTAAGCAAAATTTTGTATTAAAATGTGCTATGTAAAAACTAGTTAACGCTGATTAGGTGTATGCTACTTGCAGTACTTTATTATTTATAGTTTGGTTCATGCTGGGAAGTATAGCAAGACAGCCTGCCACAGTGGCGCTCATACACACAAGCCGCAGTTTTATTTCTCTGCCCTTCTCTCCCCTTGCCCATTCACAGAACGTTTTGTATTCTGTGAATGGTGGAAAAATTACAGTGCGGCTTCAGAATATGAGAGCCGCAGCTCTCCTTTTGCAGCGAGCGCCAAAAGGGGAAAACCATACAGGAAAGGACGGATGAATTGTTTTTATTCCAAGAAGCTTTATTTGATAACTGTAATTACAACAATAAAGCATCTTTGCTCCTCTGGATTGGAGTAAAGCACTCTTTTTTGCTGTACCATATTTTGCTTTACGTAAGTTCCCTTTGGACCATATAGTCTTCTGCATGAAAGCATACTATATTTTGCAATACATGACCATCTCTGGTTTGCTCCCAGATGTATTTATTTATCCGGTCAGGTTTTATTAATGAATGTGTCCCTTTTTATGATATATTCCTCATTTTAAGTGATGGCAGATGTCTCCAATGGGGACACAGAAAAAACAAATTTTAGTAGTGCGAGATAGGGTTAGAACTTCTGACAATTTTTTTTTATTGTTGTACTTGCGTTTCTGTCTGGTAACAACTGCTCTTCCCTTTTTGTATGGGTTTGGGTGTCACAGGGAGAAGAAGTGAAGGAAAATCTCCCCGATAGGGTCAAAGAAAGATATAAAAACCTGCCTAAATTTTTTTACTTATCAACTCAATCTACATTAAGAAAACATGGGTTGGAGTTATGCTTTAACTTTCTACTGTACCTATAGAGATATCCTATCACTCAGTGGTCTACTTCCGCACAATTTGGGTTTCCATGCTATCACTCACATTATCTGAATGCCTGTCTTTTTTCTGATTTATTTCCTAAATAGTGGTGTGCAGGTAAAGTAATCTTAGCACATTTTGTATTAGCTCTCATTCACACCTACTAAGTAGGTGAGATTACGAAAACCTGCGGATGCATTTGAATCACATATGATTACATGCAGTGTGTCAGCTCTTTGCCGCTTTTAAATGCAGCCGCCGTCACCTGATCATTATCTTGAACGGGTGACAGCTGCCGCTTGCAAACAGAAGGTTTGGAATTCCTGCTGCAGGAAATCGCAAGTTACTGCTGCAGGAATTTCAAATTGCACCTACTTGGTAGGTGTGTATGAAGCCTTAGAGTCACCTTCCTGGCTTCGTAAGAATTTAATAGCTGCAATACCTATTTTGTCTTGCTTAGATATGATTATCATGTTCCAATAATCAACCAGCCCCCTTGCTAATAAGGGGTATTTCAGTACTGCCTTGTCTTGACTTGTATTGTAACTGTTAGGGATGCACAGATACAATTTTTTCAGTATTAAGTATGAGTTTCAGGTATGTCTCACCACCCGGCTTCCTGATTGGTCGGGAAGCTGACCAATCAGAAAGCCAGGTGGCGAGTTATTACACGCCATACGGCTTCCTGATTGGCCGGGAAACTGGCTCCAAGCTCCCTCATCACCAAGTCACGAGGGTATGAAGCCGGACGGTGTGTAATAACTAGCCACCCGGCTTCCTTATACCGGAAGTTCTGGTATCAGGAATAGTATCGTAGCATTTGGGTGAGTACGAGTACGAGTACTCGCCCAAATGCTCGGTATTGACACCGATACCAGTACTAGTATAATATGAATATTATTAGTATTATATATGTGGCTCACTGATTTTCAAGTTGGTTCATAAGCAGCAAAAGCAAAATATTGTGTCCTAGTGTTATTTATTTATTTTTTGCTAAAATAACACTGTAACCTGAAATTTTATTTTATATGATCTTGCAGCCATGAGCATTAGTTTGCAAACAGTATAACTCTAAGGAATGGAATTAATTTACATGAAGGAGTAGACACTCTTCATCTAGCATACCAATGTTCACTTAGCTTAGTAAATATAAGAAGCTTTGTTCACTTTGAATACCCAATCGTACGCAAGAGAAATAAAAAAAAAATACTGAGTGTGTGATGGACAGAGATTCCTGTTCAGCCCTGCACTAAGCTGAGTTTACATTTTTCAGCTCAGTTTGGTAATTACACCCCTCATCAGCTTTTCATACATTAAAGGTGTCGTCATCATATCCTGGCCAAAATGAGATGGAGATATTTTCAATTATTTTTACATTTCTTTTCTACAGTTTGTAACGTTTAAATTATATTCTCCCATCAGAGACATCTGCCAAAGAAGGCTTGCTGCTGTGGTGTCAGAGGAAGACTGCCCCTTACAGAAATGTTAATGTGCAGAATTTCCACATCAGGTAATCTAAGCGGTGGGAGCATGAAAACACTTATAATCATCAATGAAAACCAGTGACACCAGGGATGTACATGCTGAACGATGAGAAACTGTCTTAAAATTTCCGACCCATTTAAATAGCTTTATGTCTTTCTTTATCAAGGTTATTTACTTCCCCTAGCACTAACTGATAATATTTGTGTCTATGTCCTGAGCTTATTCTGAACATTTCAGAGCTCTATTCAGACATCGGGGTAATTTACTAAAGGGATAGATTTTTGTATTAGCCGGTTAAACCTGAGTTCACATTGAATACTCAATCGTGTACAGAGGAATTTTAAAGAATGGTTTACGGTCAATTTTATTTTGTGTTTTTAAGTTATAAGCTTTCATACTGGTAGATCCTTCGGCAGCTTCGTGAATAGACCCCTTTGTTTTCAAAATAAACATTTATTACACGATGAAGGGAAGGTTTCCCAAATTTAATTAGTTAAATAAATATGTCTGGTAAGGAATAAAGTTACTATGTACATGACTCATTCGAGTTCTGTAAACGCCAGCATATTTTAACACTGCTGAAAGTTAAAATAGCTGAATATGTCTAGAACTGTTGGCTGGATTAAAGACTGCATAAAATTAATGTGCTTGACTGTAATATAAAACAGACATTATTTGTAAACATTTTCTTCTTTCAGTACTCCCCATTTTAAACACAAAAGGAAAAAGGAAACCATGTACAAAAAAGCAAAACATGTACAAAATCACTATACATTCCCTTAAAATCTAAATCATCCACATCTCCCTAAACACAATAAAGCTGAATAGCTTTCATTGGAAGCCATGTAAAAACAAACAGCCTCTTATAGTAGCAAACATAAAACGTTTATGTAGATTTCATGTTAATTTTACCTTAATTTACTACCATGGTCTGCAAATCTACCTATAAACGTACTACAAACAACACGTTACAAAGGACCTGAACACATAATCTCAATATAGATAGGCTGACTTATGAAAACAGAGCAAAAATAGAGCTGCTGCCTATAGCAACCAGATTCCTTATATGAGAGAGTCTATATATTCCAGATCCTAAAACTTTGTTACCTGTGTTTCAAACTGAACATGAACAGGATTCATGCTTATGAGAACAGCCCAAGCTGCAGGCACTGAGACAGGAATTCCACAATCATAGTTAAGTTGAATGAATCATATGAATCTATCAGGGGGAAAAAAACATCTTTTAAAATATTTATTTATCCTTCACTGCCAATGGCGCAAAAATGGCCTAATGTAAATGTAATACATTACATTTATCAATATTATCAGAATGCAATGAAGATTGGCACAGTACGGTATCTATGCTTTATTATTTTCTGTTCAGTATCAAAGAAGGCTTTTCATTCCACTCCCTAAAGCTATGTGACTTGTACTGCTGCAATGGGCAATGCTTCAGGCCAGTAAGCTTTTATGGAATCTGCTTACCAGGGAGAATTACACAGTGCATCTGCTGGTATCAATCAGGGCCATGTCTATTTTTACCATACAGTGTAGGAAAATAACATGCATACCCTTTTCAGTATGTCTGACAGTAAATGAAAAATGTCAAATTAAGTACCCAGGATCTAGAATCTATAAAATTATTTGTCGTTGAGAAATGTTAGTAAATTGGAAAGACTGTTTTCCCTAGCTGTGTTAGTGTCCCTTCCATTATACATTACAGAAGCCTCTTTTATTACAATCTAAAAACACAAGATAATAAAAGGGGTGGTTTGCTGCTTAGCAATATATAATCCTCTGCAACATTATATTTTTTAGGGCCCATTCACACCAATGCATGGGCCCTTATAGTTTCCCTCTGAAAACACACTTAAAGTACAAATGTACTTTAATACAGTTATTCTTTTAAATGTAGCCCCCTCTCCTCTAGCAAGCCCTTCAAATCTTCCTCTTACCTGTTCTGGATCCACAAAATCTTCACTGTGGGGTCAATGACTGTCGCTCAGCTTCATCATGGAAAGTCTATTGGTAGCGCAGCTCATGCACACTAAATTCCAATAGAAAGGGTGCCAAACATTGGCCTCAACAATTAATTACTTTCCCATACAAATTAATGAGCCACACTGATATGCTTTGTATGTAAAGGGGGGGGGGGGGGGGGTTGA